CTCTAAGGAGAGAGAAGCTGTGCATGAGACTTCTGCCCAATGCCAGTTTCCTCTTATGCACCATCAGATGCGCATTGCAAATAGCTGTGGCTGTGATAGCAGCACAACCTGTGCTCTGTTGTCATAGAAAAGCCGGAACGTTTTAAGTGAGTGTGTGGTACCTGAGAAACAATTCAGGATCTTCTGTTAGAAAGCTTTGAGTTAGCAAGCCACTCTTAAACCTTAAGGTGATGACAGTACACATATATAAGGTGTAGAACCAAAGCTTCTGGATTTGTGTATTTGTGTAAGAGAAGGTGTTCAAATATGTTCTCCCACCATTTTTTAATGTATTTTTATGGTGGTGATGACTGGACTTTGCATATGCATTACTGTAATCCTACATCCTTGTAGCGAAGTCTCACCTTGTGAGATTGTTGAGTGTCATGTTGGGCAAAGAACATAGCAGATATTTTGGAGCAGAGTTTTCCTTTGTGAATGATTGCTTTCTCTTTGCTCTGAGGAAGGAAAAAAAAAAAAAAAGACACAGGACTGCATTTACCACAGGTCTGTGTCTGAGCTAATAAACCATGCTGAGAGCTTCAGCTCAGGCTTACACCATTTTTGCTAGCCTGAAACACAGGCTGAGATATCTTAGGTCTGCACACAACAGACAGCATAATATTCCTTGAAAGGGTTCCAAAAGTTTAAAGGCCTGGATAGCTACTGCAAGAGCTTGTATGGGTATATAAAAATATATACCATATAGGATGTGCATAAAGCCATATGAAAATCAAGCAAAATGTGCACACAGGTCTATTAAGATTGCTCTTGGAAAAAGAAATGTTTGGAAAATTAGAGTTCCTTTTTTAAAAGAAAACTCAAGCAAACAAACAGGGAAAAGCCAACACTGGCATTTTTGCATGTGGCTGTTGGACAAGTCTCCTTAGGGGTTACCTTTGACACTGGGCTCTTAAAGTTGCAGCATCTTGCATAATGTGCTTGCACAACAAGCACTGCGCTTTACAGGCAGCAGGTTTAGACCCAAGGCAGTAAGTAGTGATCACTGCCTTTGTCTGCAGCGTTTTGTGACAATGTTCTGAACCATTCCAAAACTGAAGGATAGAAAATGGAGTAAAGAATATTGGGAAAAAGAAAAAAAAAAAATCCCCACAGCACATCAGTCTTGCACATTTGGCTTTAAGTAAAAGAGGTATAAGTAATTATGTCAAAACCTGGTGTCTAAGCTTATTTACTAAAAAAGAAAAATCAATGCATGTTCTCCAGGAGGATCAATTTGTGCTCCTGCCAAAGTCAGTGGAATTTTTATTTTTGGTTTCAATGGAAACAATTTTTGGCCCTTGGTAATTTAGGTTAATAGATGAAAAGTGTTCTCCATTTTTTCCCGCCCTTATACATCTATACCTACTCCATAATATACCAAACAGTGAGACAGAGATCTGAACCTATTCTTCTGCAGAGGACTTTTAAGGATTTTTAAGGACTGAATTCCAAACCCACTGTTGCTTATAGTAAACTTATCTCTGACTTCAGTAGCCTTTTGATCAAGACCTGTAAAAATAAATTTGGAAGGAATGACTCTGAAATTAGCATGTAGAGATGACAACTGTGTTATAGACGGGACTGAGTATTTGTGCTGTCCTCTTATGTAGCACTTCAAACCACCACAACTTTCACTGAAACAAGCTCTTGGGAAAATAAATGGAGAAGTTTCCAAATACTATAGCTGCTTCAGTATTCATACATAATAAACCCAGCTTCTGTAAATAACTCATTTTATCTGTCAAACATTGTAGACACTTATGCCACATTAACTGTCACTGAGGTCGTAAATAAACAATGTATCTGTCTACACATTACTTATGTCTGGGGGGAAATGAACAAGTACACAAGATAAACAGTAAGGAAGATATTTTAATTGTAAAAGAAAATGTTGATGTTGCTATTGCTAATTATTTTAAATGCATTGGAACTTAAAAATACAGTTCATAATTCAATGCAAGATGCAAAAGGATAATACTCAAACAAAATCGAGTTAATAATGCATCTAGTATGTATTTCTTAAATGCATTTCTACTCCCAGTCATTCAAGTACAACTCTGGGCACATTTCGACTCTTTTATTCTAAACACAACAGAAAACGGCCCCCCCGCCAACTGCACAATCAGATCTGGGAGCCTCAGCAGCGTCTGTAATGATGCTTGACTTTGTAGCCAGAATCTTCTCGAAATGGTATTTGAGGATTTGACTCAATTCCATCAGAATCAATGGTGTTTTCTGTATATAACCTTACAGAATTTACATGTGGGTCTAGAGTGTAGGTCCTGACTGATTTACTGTATGTCAGTGAGCTGAACTTACATCTCTTCAACATTGTCACAATGGACTCTTCTTTCTAGTAGTTTGTGTGATTTCTGCTTAGCAGTCAGTGCTGTACTGCTTGTTTGTGATCACATTTAGGCACCAGAGATAATAGGAGACTTCTAATGAGAGGCCAAAATATCAGGAGTCTGCCTTTGACCACTGGAGTATCTTGTTGTTGAGATATGTTCTGTACACTTCTAATTTTGTCTTCTGTAGGCAGTGTTGTCACTTAAAAGACCAATTTCTGAGCTTTTCTTAGAATAATTTTTTTTCTTGATGTATGTTTGAAACCAAACAAATCCAAAACCAACAAACCAACAGATTCCCTTCAGCCCCTTCTAAATTTGTTGTACTTTTTTGGGGGGAGGAGTTCATCAACCAACTAGGTATGGATAGGGATAACTGGCTTAATTTATGATACAGTAAAATTACATTAAGCTCTGTCTGAGCCAAAGTGATAGTAGATATTTATATTGTTAGATGGTATTATCATTATTAATTACAGAATTATTATTATTCAATGTCTGTACTAACCACTAATACTGCAAGAGAGACAATGTTTTAAAACAGGGGCTTTATAAATTCTGTTGATTGGCTAAAATACACCTTTTATATTAATGGTCTTTTACCTAAGCTAATGAGCCAGAATATTAAGATTTAAGACATTAGTGCTATTAATGTAATAGTTAATGATGATGAAATTCAGCCTTTAGATATTTCCATGGATCTCTTGGTCACTTATGAATGGGCAGAATTTGACCATATACGCTTTGCTAAAACACCAAAATACCACAAAAAAGGACTAAGGTGCGTTTAATTCTGGGATTATTAAATCACAAGGTAGCTGCATCTTTGAAAAGAAATGTATTAACTTCTGCTTGGCATGCATATAGCAAGAATCTATTGTGTGCATCCATGCTATTTTCCTTTGATATTGTTAAATATCTGGTAAGTTGTTTTCTGCCCTGCACAACAGTGCAAGTGGCATGCTAGAAAGCATATACGATCTATAAGGAGCTCTTGGTGCTGGATTTAAACAGCACAGCTATGAGAAGAATTCAAGTGCAGACACCTCTTGTTAACAGCCCTTCCATAGGTGCTTAAGTTCAAATTAACTGTTCTGAAACCCAAATTAGAGTCAAATCTGATGTGAGACAATTTACTCTGCACAACAATCATGGGCAATGAAAAGTGTTCTGCTAGATTGCTGTTTGTATCAGATCACTATAGCTCCCTTGGTGGGAAAGTAGTGCAGAATAACAATGGCCAGCAGCTAAATGTAATTTAATTATTGGGTTTACATATTGGTTAGTGCTTGCATTTTTTAAAAAAGAAGCGTTTTCAAGCCAGGTGTACAATGTCTGGCCAGTGTTAGAAATCATTATAAAAAGCTGGAGGAATAATAGACTGATGATCTAACACATTTAAATTAAGCAAGGTCTGATTGTTGAATGTTGAAGGGTGGTGAGTTCGTTTCCATCGAGGGCTGACATTTTGTCCTTTTTGTATATTGCATTGTTAGTGGTATAATGCATGCAGAAATACAATGATGAAAAGCCTGGAGGCTCAGAGTTTGAAAATAAAGCTTCCTTGAGGTTGAAATATCTGTTGTTTCACACAGCAGCTTTTCTGTTTACAATCACATGGTAAATTTGAGACCATTTAATATTTACAAACCAAAGGAAAAGAGAAATAATAAGGTGTCAGTCCATCTTTATCTTTCATTTGTCCATTAGACTTTCTTATAACTGAAAGATACTCCACATTGCTGAATGTAAGGTGGCGTAGGGCATCATTGTTCTGCACTTGTACTGCACTTTTTTCTCAAAGTTCCTTCTTTTGTATCGTAACAGCAAAATTCCGTATCACATCGTTGTTTGATATGAAATTGCTTGATAGGGTGTGATGACACATTCATATCATGTTAGCAGCATAATTTTACTGCTCCATTTTTTTAAACCATTTGCAAAAGTGCCTGAAATGTGTGCGTTATAAAACAGGGTCATTACAGCTATGGTTGAATTGGCATTTCAGTAATAAACCCTTTGGAGAGGGCTAGATATTAATGCAAATCTTTTATCATTATAAATATGAATCAGTCAGCAACAATATGGAGTGACTTTGATAAATGGACATCAGAAAACCTGATTTGCTGAATGGTGATACTGTGGCTTTCAAAACCCTGGCATCATGCAACCAAAATGTTTGCCGGGGTGGTACAAGTCCAGAACGTAGTTTGTTGGTTGTTTGAGGAAGGAAGGCTAATCACAGATCAGCCAGCACCGTAGGTCAGAGGTGGCTGGCATCTACTGCATTTGGAAGGAAGGAGGTTGAAATGGATTGCTGTCTTCTAAATGTAGCCTCAGTTTGTGCCTGTATTTCATACAGGTGCCAAAGGCCATCTCATTATGTGCCTCTGTGGCATCGTGGATCCAGCCCACTGTCTTTACTCAAATGAAGCCTACTACAGTGTCTCCCAGTAAAACTGATACAGCCCTTTGCACTCTCTTTCGGAAGAATGTTTTTCATACTGTGTTGTGAATAGAAGAGTCTCTGTATTGCATATAGAGAACCAAACAAAAAGATTTCTATGCCAGAGCTTCTTGTCTCATTCTTTTCCTGCCCTTTCTTTCCAGGGAAGTTACTTCAGATGTGCTTCTCTGAGGGATAAAAGACATCCTCATGGGAAAGTGAGAGCATCTCCTGTTGCAAACAGGGGGCTAAATGCTGATCTCAGGTTTGGATTCAAAGTAGGTTAGTGGACACCTGAAGAATCCTTCCAGGTGTGGCTCTCCGAGAGAAGAACTCCCATATACATTTCCCTCCTCTTCTTCCTGAGGCAAGGGTTGATGGAGCAGTTACCTCAGCTTCAGCACCAAAGCTTAAGGTCCTTATTCAAGGAATTTTATTGGCTGCATTGACTTAGGTTTTATCTGGATTTAGGCTTTTGAGGTCCATCTGTGGAGTATCGGTTACAAGCTCAGGAGGGACGCCAGCATGGCTGGTGATCTGAACAAAAAGCTCACAAATGATGTGACTGCACAGGTGGAGCGGAGAAGCGGGGTGGCTCTGGATCCTGCCTACAAAGGGTCAAGAATGACAAAGATAAATAGTCATTGGTATGAATGCTTCATCCGTTAAGTAGTAGTATCACATATATATGCCTGTCAGGAATTATACAGTTTATGTTGTCACTTAGGATGTGGTGGTGGTTTTCTGCTGAATTTCTCTAATTTTTGTTTTATACTCTGTCCATGACAACAGTGAACTCACAAAATGATGGTTTTTGTGTATACTACTTTGTCGTTTAGTAGTGCCTTTTGTAATCCACGCCATATTCTTCTGTCTTCCATAGTATGATCCCATAGCACTGGATGTGGTAAGACTCATGGGACAAACTAGTACTTTCTTCAGTAGAGGCCTTGACTGTTCAAAGGCTTAATGATTTTCTGCATCTTTGTCAAACACTGGTGTTATCTCCAGCTGAAAAACTGCTGATAAACATGACTTTTTACTGTGTGATAAATTTAATGCCACTTAGTATGTTGGGACTAAAGTGGACATTTTATGAATAAACCATGAATAAGCAAGGTCCATTCCCTCCTGTTTGACCATTATAGAATGAAATGGTAGAATGTGGTCTGTTTGTACACTCTATGATTTATAGAAGTTTTAACTTTAAAATCTAGCTTTTGTTATTGGAAAGGCTCTTGCAGTGGAAGCACATACCCTGAGTGGGTACCAGGTGAAAACGTAAATGGCTTGTCTCAATTTCAGTTCGTTTTGTTTAAATTTCAAATAGTGTTGGATGGCTTTTAAAATGTTTGTTCACTCAATAGGCACATAAAAGTCATATCTGCCTGCATGGTCTACTTACTTTTTAGGTCAGATTTGACACATATATGTGTTATTTCAGGAGTGTAATCACTCAACTTGTTGCCAGTTTCAGGGAATTCTTTTATATTCAGGTCCTTGTGAATTGAATTAAATGGCTAAAAGATTAATTTGTTGTAGAAAATAAATAAATAAATAGATTGATTGATATTATGCCTTTAATTAAACAATGTGAATGAGGGAGATGGTTCTTTGTTATATTCCTGTCTGGAAGGCCAAATGTTCCAAGCATTTGAGCCAGCCCTCATGTCTCAAATTTTAAGAAGCTGAAATTAGTAAGGGTCTTCTAATGCTGGTGGAGTCATGCCTGACCTCTGAGGTATTTGCAGTTTGTGAGTCAGTATTATTGAAACCTGTAGTTTAAATGCAGTAATTTCCCATGTTGAAAAGGAACCAGAGCATTTCCAAAATCATAATATTGTAATATATATATATATATATATGCAAAAGCTATAGGTGTTCTTAATGAATAACAATGCACTCTGATAGCAAAGAATCAACACAGAAAAATTAGGTCACAGCAGCTTGCTTGCTCTTTACACTGTCATGGTTGATTGGTTATTCTTATCACCCTTTGTTTAAAATAATTTCAGAATTAATTGGCGTTCATTAACGCAAGTCTTTGTAGCAGAATTGCAGAAACAGTCATTAATGTAGCTAATAAACATAAAAAAGAAAAAAGGATCCTATTACCAGGTCCCTACAGGCTGTTAACTAACATTTTGAATAAGAATACATAAACATAAATTAAACATTTTTACAAACTGCTAAGGATGTGGGAATTTAGCATGGTGGTCTGTAGTAATGCTTTGAACCAATTTGTTATATTATGTCAATTTTTTAAGGTTTTTGTTACAAAGATAGTGATCCTGATTAGCTTAGATTTTTTTGCTGCAGTCATGCAGGTTTCTTAAGAGGCCTGTCTGCCTCTGCCATCTACTACAGATAAGGTTCTGATCCTTCTCCTGAGTTCAGTGAGTGTTCTTCTTGAGGAGTGTAGAAGTTCAGGTTCCTTTTGTGAAGTTTTGAGAAGAAACAGAGCAAACTTAGAAGCCCAAAGTTTTGGTTGAGGGCCCAACAGCAGCTACTAACTTGTGTAAGCATCATCTACTTCGTTTGTGTGCGTGAAGGTTGGTCACTGACTTTATCTGGGTGCTCTGTCGTCTGATTTGCTTGTTAGCTTGAGTTAGACCAACTCAGTAAAATGTGCTTTCAAGTTTGCTGTGTGTTAATTACAGGATTTCCCTTGTTTGGGCTGTTGCCCTGATTTGATGGAATATACAATTTAGAAGGCACTGCTGTATCTCTTCAACAACCCCCCACAGCCATTTTTTCTAACAGATCTCTCAAGGTTTAAGGGTCATTAGTGATCAAGTAGAACACATAGGAAAAGTCATGTCTGCTGTGCACCCTAGCACGTGTGGGAGGAGTTGGGGGGTACGATGGTGCGTGCGCAGCTGTGGGTCTCGGAGCATGTTTCTGTCTGACCCCTTGCAGGCCTGTGGGGATGCAGCAGGTCCCAATGCTCTGGCACAGGGGCCGGAGTTGAGCTGTTTGAGGAAGACAGGCTCATTCCTGTGCTCACAGGTGCTTGTTACCCAAAACAGAGCAAGATGATGCTTGTACTGCCTAATTCTGCATGGAAGGGAACTGTCGCTTTTCACAGGGTGATAAAAGCAACCGTGGTGTTGGGCAGGCAGCAGAAGCTCCCAGCGCAAGCTCTGGCTGGCTCTTCGGGAGCTCCTTCCAGCAGCACGATGGCTTCTCATGCTGCCCGTCCATTTGGCTGCAGCACAGGGTGCGGGCAGTGGAGCTGGGAGAGGCAGCCGGGCTGTCCACGTTCACCTGGTCTTTCTGCACCTGCACTGGGCTGGCACTGCTGCCTCCTGGGCACCGGTCTGCCCCACTGAGAGGTCGTAGGACACCCAAGTCCCCAGTTTGCAGGCATGATGAGGTACCTAAGCAGCCAAGTGAGCATGGCCTGGGAACAAGTGACGGAAATGCCAAATTATTTATCCTGAAATGTTGTAGGCATTGAAATGTAGCCCTAGTGAGGAGCAATTGGAAAATGTGTCCCCTACTATTTAATTTTCAAATGTCTTTGCTACAGCTTACTGAATGTAAAGAGGGTAATTTGCAGACAGACCACCTAATGTAGTTAGTTGATACATTTTAAGGGCACTGTTATATCTGAACAGCACTGATGCACTTTTAACTTTGGTTAAATGCGGAGTCTCCATGTAAATGCAGTCTTGGCATACACAGTAAGTTACAAAAACATTTCAAATACAGAATCAACTGGACAAATATATTGCTTTGTACATCTGACTCTTGATGTATACATTCTAACTTATGCAGAGAAACATGAAGCCTTGCCAGTGATCCATATACATTACTTTTTATAGCATACATTTCAAAGAATTCAAGCCTCAAGTATGATACAATTGGTAGAGGGATAAAGAAATATATTTACCTCTACAATTAAAAAATAATAGCAAAAAGACTAAAAATTGTTTTAGTCTAACTTTTGTTTATTGACTAGAACGTATAAATGGCTTTAGGCACTACTAAACAATAAAAAAAATGTGGCTCACTATTGGGTCTTTTATCCATTTTAATTTATTTTGATGCTGCATGCAGTTTCTGAATATCTTTTGTGGGTTGTAATAAAATAGCCGCAGTGCAATTTTGCATGTATGTCAAGCGGTGCGTGACCTGATATGCAAATTTAATACCAAGGTGCCAAAACTGAATTCATAATGTTTCACATCTACAGAGCTGTTTAAGGCAGTTTAGAAATCAATGAATATGTAATATGAAGGTGATAAGACCTAAATAAAAACCCTATTTATCTACTATGAAAAGTATTTATACACAGAATATTTAGCACAAGCAGAAAATGGACAGAGTTTCCAATTATATGGTTTGCATAAACAAATGTTGAACCATGTGCTTAGAATAGATAATAACATAGCTAGTTCCTTTGCATTATACTTTAGAAATGTTTACAGATGTCTCTCTCTTAGTGTATATATAAAATGAAACACTAAAATGAAGCAGCTTTTGAAGAAAACCTCTTTGAGGTCTCTTATTTATTTTTAATTTACAGTATATGGGGTGCTTCATTATAGGTTTCTGTTACCGCTTTTCAGGTTATTAAAGATCAGTGAAATAAGATACACTTCTGTGAAGTCTTGTAGTTTATGGTGAAATAAGGGACATAAATTTAACTGGTAATAAATAAGAATCAAATGTTTTCCATCTGCTTACCTTTGAAAGCAGAGAAGATCTAATTTTGGAAGCATTTCGACTTTTGAGATCTTTTCCTGAATCGATGAACTGATTATTTCTATTATATTCTCCAAAAAGTTAATCTAATAAAGTTTCAGGAGTTTACCAAATAATAATCGTGAATTAGATTGGCCTTTCACTCAGATTACTTATATGTGGAGATGGACTGGGAATCCAAGTCTTGATTGATGGCAATCAGTCCCAGCTATACCACTGAAATATATACTGTCTCCCCACGGAGGAAGAGAGAGTATGTGTGTTTGGTTGGCTCGCTGCGTTGTTTTACAGCACCCCGCCAGTCAGCACAAAGAGACATTTATATCTCTTGGCTTGAAATTAGTTGCTACAGTAATGACTACCAATGTGTTGAGCAGTCAAGAAAAATGTAGGGGTGTGGTAGGTTTTGAAAAATGTCCATATGTGTACTGCTGATACTTGGAAGAAATTTTGCATCCACCTTGCTAGAGGCCAAGGTCCATCATAGGAGAAATCAGAGCATTAGACTGACAGATGGAATAGTGATTGGAAGTAGATACTAATTAATCTTTGTTCTGTGTAAGAAACCAGAGAAAACTCAAACCCCAGAAGTGTACACTTTTTTTCCACACATGACTTTAAACTAACTTGGGTGTAGTTTTCCACTGTTTGTCAACAGCCTGTTGACTTAAGATCTTAAACCTCAACAAAGGTTTAAAGTTCACAATAAATTTGAACACCTATGTCTGATCAGATACAGATGAGCAGAACTGGGAGGTATATAATAATGATGATGGTCTTAGTTTTTGTCCCTTGTGTGGCTACTACCCTGTGAAATTGCTGCCTCCCTCTGAGAAATGAATGATGAGGTCATTTTTTGTTTCTGCATGAGGGACTGTCTGTGTTTCTTCAACAAGTGCCAGAACCATTCATTTTTATGAAGTTTTCTTCAGCTTGTGCCACTATTTATTAGTAAGAGA